AATAAATATTCAAGTGATGGCAGCAGTGACCCACTTATTAGCAGATGCCACAGCCCCAGGGCACAGTGGCTGATGCTGAAGGAACACAGAGAGAGGCCGTGGCAGGGAAGGGAAACGTCCTTGGGAAGACGCGTTCAATTCCAACGCTACTGAGTGACTGCGAGAAGTCAGCTTCACTCTCTAGGAGCGAGGGGCAGCGAGAAAGACAGCAAATCAATCCAGCAGATGGCAGGATGTGCACACTTGGGTCACTGAACAGACACCAGCCACGGGCAGCGTCGCCCCCGCCCTCTGCGAAGTCAAGCTCCAAGGACTGACAAACGGGCATGCCCTGCCCACTTCTATCCAGGCCTCGCAGAGGGGCTGCCCTGCAAGCTGAGTGAGTCTGTGTCACGGGGGCTAGAGGACGGTGCCGAGAGGCCAAGCGGCCGGGCTCCCGTCTCTGCCTCAGCCCTGTGACCCTGGGGAAATCACAGCCTCCAAGCCTCAGTTTTCTCTCCTGTAAAATGGGATGAGGCTGGGGCTGGCCCAGTGGTGCAGCAGTTAAGTTCGTACGTTCCGCTTCTTGGCAGCCCGGGGTTTGCCGGTTTGGATCCCGGGTGCGGACATGGCACCACTCAGCAAAAGCCATGCTGTGGTAGGCATCCCACATATAAAGTAGAGAAGATGGGCATGGACGTTAGCTCAGGGCCAGTCTTCCTCAGCAAAAAGAGGAGGACTGGCAGTAGTTCGATCAGGGCTAATCTTCCTCAAAAAAAAAAAAAAAAAAAAAGGGGGATGAGGCCATGTATCTTACTGCGTGGCTGGGAGGACCAAAGAAGAAACAAGAAAGTACTGGTAACGTGCTACACCAAGGCAAAAACACAGTAGGAGGGAGCAGGCAGACTCAGCCCGCGGCTGCCGCGGGGGCGCAATACTCCCTCCTCTAACCCTTATAAAAAGGAAGTTTTCCCCTTGAACAGTCCTGTTTTAGGAAGAAACCATTTGATTTTAAAAAGGGGACTGTATGCTATTTTAAGTGTCGCAAACGGATAGAGACAAGTATTGCTGTGTAAGGCTGAGCCAAGATGGAATCAGAAAACATGGCCTCCTGGCAGAGAAGGAGAAACCAGGACTCTCAGTGAAGGCTCAGAAGGACCCTTCCAACGTCAACTTGAGTCTGAATCTCAGATTGACCTACTCCTCTAGCGAGAGAGTCCCGTAGACAGAACTCTCCCTGAGGCCCCCAACACACACCCCACTTCTTCAAGAAGAACCGTTTCTGGGGAGAACCCCTCCGTCAGGCAGAAGGTGGCAGGTCACCTGCAGGGCACTTGCAGGCTGCATCTCTCTTTCCCGGGTCACCTATACCCTGGAGGTGGATCTCACAGCTCCTGTGCAAGGCAGGACGGCAGGACGGCAAGCCAGGGTGACCTTGTCCTGTCCCAAAGCAGCCCACAAGGGGCCCCCTGCTCAATATTGCCAGTCTGTGGCCGAGTCTCCAGCCAGGATGAGCTCCGCTCTGCCATCTGCGCACCCGGCTCCGCTCGGCCAGTGCCTGCTGGGCTGCCAGTGACCCAGCAGCATCTGTCCAACTGTAAGTGGCGGATGCCACTCCTGCGAATGGTGAGGAGCTTTCAGCACCGGGGAGTCCCACTGTCCCCCCAGGGCTTCCCTCTGACACTCTCAAGGAGGTGGCAATGGCAGGACCAGGTCCTGGACAAGGGGTACGAATGATAGGCTGGGGAGCACAGTAGGTATGAGGAAGTGAAACAAGAGCACCTGGCAGTGCCCTTGACTCCAGGGACAGTGACACACGTCCCATTCCCCAGACACCCGGACAGTCCGACTCCTGGACAGAACTGCTATACATACAATCCTGCCACTTCACCAGTGGTGCCTGGCCCCCACACTGTATAGGAAAGAATGAAATGCTAAATTCTGACTTTGTTTCCTACCAAAGTCGGAGAAGTTCTGCAGAAAGAATCCCAAGATATTCCCCAGCCTGGAGGCGAGGTTACAGGTTTGAAAGAGTTGGGGCATCTCACACTTTCCCATTCATCTTTCAAAGGAGCGGGAGGGGTGGGTGGTGGGGTTCTGGGAATCCAAGGCCTGCTGAAAGCAGAACCTGACATGAATTCTCAGGGGCCCTCCTGACAGGGCCCAGGTCACTGCTGGCTCCAGCTGTGCTGGCTCGCTGGGACGCCCTGGAGAGCACATGTGACTCATGGGACCCCCACCTCACAGGGCCCTGCTCTGTGGCTACTCCAAGGAAGGAGAGGGAGGAACTGACTCATGTCAGCTGCACTGGCAATCACAGGATGCGGACGGAGGTCGCTGGGTGCAGGAGGGGAGGAGAAATTTTCCGTTTGTTAAGGTCAAGGGCTTTGGGAGGCGACTGGCAGCTGCTGGTAGAGAAAGCTCCCTTCTTATAAGTAATCACGATGCTACACACAGGCTGGCCTCTGGAGATGGTTAATATCCCAAATATTCTCATTCTGTGTGTGCCTCTCAGTAGCATTCCCAAGAAGAAACAGAAGAGATTGTTTCCAGCAGACTTTCTGAAAATTAAACCACAAAATAAAAGCCTGTACCTTTATCCCCCAGAACGTACTGTCCAGAATAGCAATGAAGAAGTGGTTATCAGCAGGCCCTTTCGAACATGTAGGCCCGAAAGGTGCATGGTCTACCTGAGCCACAGAGATGACTGTGCACGGGGCAGGAAGGGTGCTTAAAATTGGCTCCTGCCTTGCCCAGATTTCGGTGAAGTCTGGCCGGCAGCAAAATCAAACAGCTGGCAGAAAGAGGTGCAGTGGGAGCCTCTAGAAGGGATGAACAATCTTCTGAACATGGGGGCAAGGGGAAATGACGACCCTCCTCCCCCGATCTGCAGAGGCCACTTGACGGAACAAAGACAGGCCTGTGTGAGCCCCGTAGGTCAGGCTTGGGAGAGTAAGATGCCATTATCACTTGCAATAGAGCGCAGGACGGAGGAAGAAAACCCACATCCTTGCCAACCTCTTCCCCCAGTCGCTGTGTCCCTTCCAACTCACTGAGAGTGGGAGGCCTGCAGAGGGGTGAACAGCACCGGTATTCAGGGCTAGGAAGAACTGGAGCCGCATGCAAAGTTACAAAGGGACTTCTGAGACAACACGAAGGTCCATCCGCCTTGAATTTCTCCAAACCAGGCAGAAGAGCACATCTGAACCGAAAACCTTCTGAGCAAACTGATCCCGCAGCAGTGGACCGGGGGTTGGCGGGGAGAGGGTGCCAGTCCCCAGAGAACAGGCTCTGCTTCTGCTCACCCTTCCTTTCTGATTCCTGCAGCTTTTGCAAGCCCGGTGGCAATTAGCTTTATGAGTTATAAGTGCAATATCTGGGAGATGAAGGCAGTAATTAATACCTGTCTGCCTTCCTGAAGGGTTCCTTCTGTTCGGTCAGAGTTATTGAGATTCAGGGAAGGAAGCTTCCATCATGTGGAAGGTTTAGTGGAGTAAGTGAAGGAATTTAACAAGGCAATAATAACGCTCCTAAATAATTCACCAGGCAAACGGCAGCAGCCCATATTCCCAGTGCTCCATGTCTGTTTTGCCCGTGGGCAGGGGAATGTGCCAGGCAGATTCTGCACGGACTCCAGCAACCTCCCTGGGAAAGACCAGCTGAGGGGCTCTGCTGCTGTCCCTCTGCTTGTCCCCGGACAAGCTCGGGTGGCTGCGCCGAGCCTCTCAGATCTCTTCTCCACCTCTTCCTTCTGCCCGTCTATGCCGGTTAGAGACCCAGATGGGACTTACACTTACAAATATTTTTGCTAATTTTATCAATCAAGGTTTGTTGAAATGCTAAGAGGCTAACAGGCCTCAGCTCTCCTGACTAGACCTGTGGTGGGGGGACCTGTGCCACAACTCTACCCCAAAACAAATTCTTAGCCATCGCTGAATATGCAAGAGAAGACACACAGATTGTCCGACTGATCCAGAAATGCAGAGAGGAAAACAAACCTCTCCACGGCTTGAGCCACGGTCTCCTTCCAGAGGTCTACAGGGTGGGACTGGGAAGGCAAAACCACCATTCAGCGGCCCTTGGGGTTAACAAATTCAGACTCAAATAACAGAGCTGGCAGGGCCTGCGGAAACCTTTGCCAGGATAGAGATAATTAAGTCAAGAGGCCAGCTCCCCGAAAGGCTCAGCTCTCTCCTGGCCCTGCCTCCTGCTCCAATCAGCTAAGTGGCCACGTGTCAAACTATGTGTCACCTAGCACACCTAAATCTGTGTCAGGGCTGAGGAGGACCGAGAGGAAGCAGAGAATATTAATAGATGCGGCAAAAAGGAAAGGGAAGAGTCTCTGAGTCCCGCCCGCAAAGCAGGCGGAGATAAATGACTGCCTCTGGGTCTGTATCTTATTTCCAAGACCCGTCTGGCACATTGCTAGGTCCTCACTCCCCGGGCCTGGGGCACAGAACAATCAAGAAGGAGCCCGGAGGTTCATTTTCTCCCCTTGTCTGCAGGCAGCAGGGGAGGAAGGGCGAGAGTTGGGCTGGCCCTTCCCCATTTGCAGAGCCTGTTATAGTCAGGGTCAACCGTACGATGGCTCAGCCCAGCCTGCCCAGTCAGGAAACCTGACATCCACCCACATCCTCCCGGGCTGTCCATGAGTAGCGTCAGAACATGGGAAGTCTCCGGAAAACTAGCTCTGGCACTCTTAGAGAGCTTTGATAAGAGTGCCCCTCACATCCTGAGCTAACTTCACAGGAGTTCACAGCCCTACAGCTGGCAACATCCCAAAGGCCAACTTCAAACCACATACGACTAAGGCCTGGCCACCAGGACACTCTGGGGCTAGAGTCTTTGTGACATGAACCAAGGCCGCAGACGGCAGCCAGAGAGTGGAGCTGTGGAGGCCGTCATCTCTGGGGAAAGACTTCTGCCAGAGGGTAAAGGCCGTTCAAATGCCCCTGGCCACCCGGGAGGGCCTGGCCAGGCCCAGGCGAGAAGGCCGGAGGAGCAGCGGCGAGGCCACTCACCAGGTAGATGCGGTAGGCGTCCACTCGGCGCAGGGGCCCCCAGCACAGGTCCGTGTCGTTGTACCTGGTGTCGGCCTCCACACCACAGGAGTCATTGCCAGCGGCGCTGCTGAGAGAGAGAACAATGGCTCAGTGTGGCCCTCCCTGCTCGGCGGGAAGCAGACAGAATGTAACACTGTTAATTATTAGCTTATTATTATTAATTATTATAATAATTATAATTATTAATTAGAACCTCCACTCCCCCAACAGCTGCTCTAGGTCCAACCGTCTGAGTCTCACGAACCACATTTCCCTGTCTTTTAGGGCAGCCATCGCTCGTTCCTGTCACATTGACTCCCGGTGACTCAGGAACCCCTGGTGGGAATCCCAGTCATCTCCTCAGTGGGACAGAGAAGGGGACAGCAGTGTGGAGCGTGTCTCCAAGGGACAGAACACACAGCTGGCTGTGACCCGTGCAGACGAGGGCCTCGGCATCTATGCTCTTCAGATGCTGATGGATTTGCTGGGCGTTGTGCTTCTGCCCTGAAACCTCTGCCCCGACTGCCCGAGGAGCCCATTGACTACAGCTAGTGTAGGGGGTGGTGGGGGACACTCACCAGGTCACCTGCATGAGGGAGAAGGGCACAGCAGCAGCATAGATGGCCAGGTCCCCATACAGGTAAATGATGATGCAGAAATAGAACAAGTTGACCCCCACTGAAAGGAACAAAGTCATCGGTCAGGGAGCCCTAGGGAAATGGTTACATTCTTTTTTGACCACTAAATCTCTGCCTCTTCTATAGCTTTCAGTTCTCCAAGCTGTCTACTTTCTCCAAAAAGAGTGGGAAAACCACCCCAAAGTCCTGTGTCTTGTTCTGGCTGACTACACTGTGATGCTGGCAGAAGACACATTTGCTTGTGACTGTCACCTGAGAGGGGCTAAGCGAGCAGAGAGGAGGAGCAGAGAGGTTCTGAATCCAGCCAGGTACAGGGCGAGTGGGAGGCATGGACTGACGGGGGGGAACTGGAGGTGCCTTCACGCTCACTTGGGACAGGCTGCCTGGGGAAGAGGAGGAGAGACGCCCCCAGTCAGGAGCCCGAACCCCAGAGTTTGCCTGGGCCACAGCTCCTCTCTCAGCCAAACACAGGCCTCTGAGGCAAAAGACTGCTCCTGAGGAATTAAAAAGCAAAGAGGAAGTAACAGGAAATGGCCCAGCTTTCTGAAGCTGAAATTAAGAGTAAAAAGCCCTTGGTTTCCGAAGACCAAGTGCCTCATTCTGAATGTGACCAAGCACCCAGCACCCGATGGGGTGGGGGGCCTGGCATGCTGGGGAGAGGGAGCAGCAGGAGCGAGCGCTCAGGATGGGCTCACCTTCCTTCTTAGGAGAAGCTTTCGCAACGCAGGATGCTGACTGCGGAAGGTGCATGACGTGGAAGCTCCCTCTGCAGAGCCAAACCTCGGACCCTCTCCCTCCGGGAGGGCCCTGAACTGAGAGTTAGGAACCCAGGCCCTAGTCCTAATCACATCGGTCTCGCTTCCTGCCCCTGTAAGTCCCCAGTCGTCTCCAATCCTGTCCAGTGAGAAGAATTCCACTCGCGCTAAATCCCGTATGTGAGTCTAGCTATAAAGACCAAATGTGAAAGCTCTGAGAAAAGCATGCGACCCTACAACCTCAGGGTCGTGGCCCCGGACAGCCAGTCTCTAATTTCTGTCCAGACTGACTGCTCGTTTGTGATCTCCTTGGTCTCAAGCTGCTGGCTTCTCTGAGAACAGAAAGAAAAATGAAGTGACAGTTCCCTCTAATCCTGGTGGCTCAGAGGAGCCTCCAGGGTCCCTGAGGGAAAGCTGGGGACATGTTCCTCCTGGGCTATTTGAGGTCAGCTTGCTCCTAGGAGTCTGGGGGAAAAAGACTAAGAAAATATGTTCTTGCAAGAACCCAGAAGGGCCTCGGAATCCTCGCTGTCCAAGCTCAGTGGTTCCAGGGGTCTGCCTGCCACTCACCTCGGGGCTCCAAGTATGGCCCGTGTCCCAGCTTGACTTTCGGCTCAGAGCCAATGCTCTCTGCAGGGAGGCACCGTCCCTCCCCGTCCCAACCTCTCCTCCACCTGCCCATGCACTTGTGTCAGCTCTGTTTATAAACTGCCACTGGCCCTTCCTGATCAATACATTTCATTACTAGACACAAAATGGCAAGATCAATGGACTTCCTGAGAGGACAGCAACGACTAGGCCTGGAATTTCTAAGGACAAGAAATGAGTCTGGATCACAAGGGAGCCTTTTGTGGAGGGTGGTAGCCCTTCCAAGGTGAAGGTGACAAGCTGTGAATTAGCCATAGCACAGAGCGGTTTTCAACTGGGGGCGATTTTGCCTCCTACCCCCAACTGGGGACACTTGGCAATGTCTGAGGACATTTTTGGTTGTCACGACTCGGAGGTGCTACTAGCAACTAGTGAGTAGATGCCAAGGATACTACTCAATATCCTACAGTGCAGAGCACAGGCCCCACAACAAAAAGGATCCGGCCCAAATGTCAACAGTGCTGGGATTGAGAAATCTTGGAGCAGATGAGAAGAAGCCTTCCCCTAAGTGTGAGGCTGCTCTCATACGATTGTATTTTCTTTCATATTTGGGTAAACTAGGAGTCTAGTCAGTGGGCGAACAAAAAGACAAAACCAAACCACTACTTCCTAGAATTCTTAAAGAAGTCAGGGAGGATTGTAAAACACAGAAATTAGAAAGGAGGATTAAAGGTCTACGTTCTCCCTCCAATGTGCATTTTATTTCAAAAGCCTGCCTTTGGAAGGAGACTGGGTGCGGCCGCCAGGAGGAGATGTTTCCACTCTCTTATCTTAGTCTAACTTGACGGGGAGAGAGAGAAAAGGAACAAACGAAAAGCACAGAAGTGGGCTCGTCACAGCCAATTTGGTTTGGATGAATTCTGAAAAGCCCCTTCGAGCCCGATGGGGGGGATGGAAGCAGACCCTCGGGGAACCTTTGCCTGATGATCACAATCTTCCGGACCAGACAGTCAAATCACATCGCCAATGATAAATGGAATGCTTAATGTCCCCAAAAGCAGGCAAGACGCTAATTTCTACAATCCTCCCCAGCTCTAAGACCTGGTGGAGATGCCCCCCTCTGCAAACAGGGTCTCCAACAAAGGGGCAGAAAATCTTCCAAGATAAGTGCAAGGGGAAGGATTTAGTGAGATGTGTCTGACTGTCTATGAAGGGGAAATGGACAGGATTGGATATGCAAAAACTAAACTCTTGAACAGCGCATCTTCCAAAATAACAATATCTGCCATGGAGGTATAAGATGCTGTTGCTGGAACACTCAACAACCTAGCACCAGAGCTGGGTTGGATGCTTTCAGGGTATAGCCAGTCCCAGTAAGGAGCAGGCAGAGTGCCCAGGTCAAAATTAGACGCTCAGATTCCCAGGCAGCAATGGGCCCCTAGCACCCTCTGCTGGCCACCTGGAAGGCATACCCAGGCGTGTGCACAGCGTTATCTATTGCCGTCACAAGGTGATTGCTCTGTGTTGTCCTAGCAGAACAGTCCAGAAGAAAGACAAGTCAGAAGCAATCAAGCAAGAGGCACAAAACTGTCAGCCAGCCTCGGTCGGCTCCCTTCGTCAGAAATCTGCCTAGGATTCTCGACCTCTATGTCTAGAAGGAGCTAAGCAGCCACTTTTTTATTCCTACAATGACGAATGGGCAGGAATCCAAAAAAACAACTTGAAGCAGTTCAGGCCTCTCAGCAAGGTGGCTTCTCAAAGGCACTGGGAGCAGGCGGACAGTCTGCTTTCCGTATCGCCTGCCCTGTCCTGAGTCGTCAAGGGGGGACCCTTGCTCCGAGTGCCCAGGTCTGCAGGAAAGAACCAGCTCCCCCTGTCCTCGCCCCACCTCGAGAACGAACTCACACCTTTATTGAAGAACATGGAGGCCATCTGTCCCATTTCCACCCGGTCTGTGATTTCAAAGAGGTTCGAAGGTCCACGCCTCTCTGTGGAGCCAAAAGGACAAGAAGAGGAAGTGGCTCTTCCATTTGGAAAAGCTCCTAGAAGGGGGTGTTGAGCTCTCTGAATTCTCCAGAACAATGAAATCTTCAAGCATTTCAAACTGTCAAGAAAACTTTTCCCGATGTTTCCAAACATTGGTGGGAGGGGAGGAAGGAGAGAGATCAGAGCCCTGACACTGACTCAAGCCTCCAGCGGGCACCGGGCGCTGAGGTTACGTGACTGGCCCAAGCCGCAGAAGTTAGTACATGGTGGAGTCACAGGGCTGAGGCTGGGGCCCCAGGTTCCAAAGCCGTGCGGACCATGGTGCCTTCCTAGGAACCAACCACAGGCAGGAAGTGCCCGGGGGTCTCTGCAGAGAGACGCCCCCAGACCCTCTCCATGAGGAATGAGAGCCCTGTGGACCAGAGGGAAGTGGGGGCCGGCCCGAATCCCAAGACTTACGCACAGACAGGATGGGCCGCTTCTCTGCCCGCTCATAGCTGTCCTGGACGAGAACATCACTGTCGGAGGCCGTGGAGGAGTCGTCATCTTCCTCCTCCTAGGAGAGGGTGGGACAGGGAGAAGGAGGAACAAACAAGGAAAAAAGGAGGAGTATGTAACTACAGAACCCCCTGGGACAATGGAGAGCACGTTTACTTTATTTCTTTTCAGAAGGTATCTGATTAGGAAGCTCTCAATACTTCCATACTGCCACATTAGAAGGCACAGATACACTTGGATGTCAGATGGCAGCTGCAGCACAGCTCCTGGGTACAGAGGTTCAGAACGACTGAGCGAGCTCAAGGCAGGGGGCAGGACGGAGCCTGTGATGTTAAAAGAGCAGAGGCTGCATCTGTTCTGTAAGCTCATGAGGCTGTTAGGCTTCAGCTCCGGCACTAGGGTCTTGGGACAGCGCTGTGGACACGAGCCCTCCATTGGGAGGGAAAGAACTGGCCAGAGGGCCACCTTTTTGCTACACAACTGGATGGGGGCACTGCCTGGAAACAAGGGCAATACACACACCTGGTGGTTTTCCATCCTCTTCCAGCGCAGCTGAGCGTTGGCTGCCGCCATGGCCTCCATCACAAAGGTGGTCGTCACAAAGCTGCAGGGGAAGGCCATGTGTTAATTACCAAAGGCAGGTAGGAGGGAGGAGGTACAAAGAGAAAGGAAAAGTCATTTTAAGACCTGACCAACAAGCCCAAAGCATTCTCTCTTCTGAGAGTTGTTCCCTAGGGAACTTTTGAGATAGGTCTGACCCGATAAGAGGGTGTGTGTGCATATGTGTGCATATGATGCCTTGTGTGCTTGCCTTGATGTCCCTGTCCCATTTAGAATGCATTTCCAATGAAATAAGCTGAGGGAGAGAGAATGAGCCTGGCGGAGAGGTGTCGGGGGCAATGCAGTACTGCACTCCAACAAGGGGCCTGTTGTGGGCAGAGGTCAGGGACAGGCACTCTCTGATGCTCTAGGTTGGGCAGAGGAGGCTGATTCACAAAGCGCCCTCCCAAAGCTTCTGGGAAGGGCAGCAGGCAGTTCCCACCTCTCCTTGCTGGGACACAGACAAGCGGTCAGCTCCCAGTTGCACACACTGAAGGACGGGGCACAGGCAGGGATAATTGAAAAGGACACTTGGCTCCTGAATCCACCCCCTCTTTTTTTTTTGGCAGTACTTTTACTTTCCTAATAATCTGGCTAATGGGAAAATAAGCTTGCATTTCTACGGCCTGAATCCAAAGGGAGATGGGGAGGTGGTACCAGATGTTTGCTGAGAGTCAGACTAGAGTGAAAAACCATCTTTTCTTTTCCTCTTAAAGAAACTGGAGAGACCTGGACAACAGCTGGGACACACAGATGCTTCTGGTAGCAGACGGTAAGGAAAGGGCCGCCTTCCTGCTAATAAAACCCGAGGAATGAACCTATCCCTGCTGAACCAACCTGGATGGAACATTCACCTCCCTCCTCCTCGAGGCCAGCACGGCTCTGCCCCTGGACGCGACCCCGAGCCCTCCCCGAATGCTGTCACCTGCTGCAGGCTGACTGCTCGGCCCAGCAGTCAGGTGGCAAGTGGGACAGAAGTAAAACCCACATACACTTCATCTTGCTGGGGGTCGGGGGCAGCCAGCTCTGAAATCCTGGTTCCAGTCGCCTCAGCACCTCCTGGAAAGGTTTCTCATTATCTTGCCTAACTGACCATTTTAAGGGCTTTAGATTTTCCCTTGTTTTTGGAAGTAAAACTAAAACCAATCTTAATTAAGGCATAAAGAGGCTCCTCATGGTTGCACAAAGCCAACCCATTGATCATGTTCAAACATAAATGGGTTGAGCAAGGAGGCCCCACCTGGGGGCCCCCAATAATCACTTCCCATTTAGATGGCTGCCTGTGCTGAAGGTCCTTTAAAGGGGACAGTAAAGTCATAGAAGGACAAGGACTTCTAGGGCTCTTGGCTGCCAGGGCTTGCAGTATGTAATGAGCCAATGGTACCCCAAGGTTGGCCTCAAACCCCTCCAAAAGAAAATGTGCGAAGGAACTGAAAAACACAGGCATTTTCCTATCCCATTCAGCCTCCTCCAGGTCTTAATTTGCTTCATCTACTAAACGGTTTCATTCCTCCAATAGGACCTGCTCCTTTCTCCTTCCAATCTCCTCAAAGGCTGCTCTCCATGACCAGTGACCACCTACTTAAACTGTGATCATCCCGCGCTCCTTACTTTGTGTCTTTTTCCGTATTACTCATCACCTTCTAACTAACTCTGCAGTTTGCTTATTGATGATCTTCGCTACTTACCGTCTGTCTCCCCACCAAAGCAAGGGAAGTCGGCAAGGGTGGGGGGTCTGTTTTGTTCAGCGGGGTACCAAAGCACCTAATCGCACTGCTGGGGGCACCTCTCACAGGGGAGTGACCCCTGGGGGTGTTTTCTCCCACCTCTTTTTTGCAGCTTATAGATTCCTACCTGGTTAAGGGGGCTGGAAATGCTCAGTCCTAAATCCAATGCTAGTCTGGAACTCTCGCCAAATGACTTCAGACCTGCATGTGGAATCCCGGAGAAGAGCCCCAAGCAGACACACCAGCTGGTGAATCCCCCACACCCGGCTCAAGGAGCAGGTGCCCGGAAGGCCTGGGAAGGCACTGGCCTCCTCTCTGCTGCCAGGCACAAGCGAGGTGAGATCAATTCTTGATTATCTGTGTCCCTGTGCATTTATCACTTACCTTGTGAACTATCTTAAGCAAATTCTAAATTCCAAACTGATTTCCCAAATCACCTTAAATGTCTGCTAATTCTTCTTCTCTGTCTAGGTGGTACTTTCTCAGAGAACAAAATTGACGGTAACATTAATAAAGTATACAGCAGGGGAGGTAAACCTGCCGAGTAGAAACACGTGAGCACCACGTGAAACATTCCAAAGCCTACTTGGAAGTCTTAACTTTTAACTGATCAGGGTTGTGTAACTGCTCCATTAGCATGAGACACTGGAGACCTCTGTATCTCCTTTCCTCTCTGGGCCACCTGGTTAGGACTCACTCACACAGACATCTTCCCGCCCGCCAAGCACACTTCCTCAAGTTAATGAAGAGAGTCGGGCTTCCTGGGCAAGCTCCCTCAGCTTTGCTCCCAGGCCCCGGCCCCCATGTGACAGCCTCTTACCTCATGAAGCCCAGGAACACCAGCAGGACCAGGCTGACAAGCCATCCAGCGGTGGCAAAGGCCTTGGGCATGGTGAGCGCACCAGTGCCCACGATGAGGTTAAACATGTACACCAGTCCAACCTGGAACCAACAGAAGTGACAGTCAAGCCCAGGAATTAATTAACCTCCCCCCACAACGGCTCCCAAGGACGACCCCGGGTGACAGCAAAACTGCGGAGGCCAGGAGGCCAGACTTCAGACCGGGCAGCGGGTAAGCAGGGGGAATTCCGCCTCGGTTCTAGGGAGGCATGCTCTGCGACCGGATGCTGGGCACCAGACATTAATACTCGGCTGACTAAAGTTCTATCAGTCTTTTCAAAATGTCCCTGATGGGTAGTTCTCTTCTCCACGTCTGCTGTCACCATCTCCATCACCCCCTCATTTCATTGCTCAAAGCCGCATCTTAGATGGAAGCTCTCTGCTCAAACAGACTGTAGACTTCGCGAGGACACACCTACCCGGCACAAGGATGAACCCACAGTGCTGACGTCAAAAAAAGGGCCACTTTTCCAACACTGCTGAGCACATGACCCAGTCCTCCTCTCCACCGTCCCTGCCGCTGTCCTCTGGGACGTCTACATTCACAGTGCTTCCCTCTCCCTGCCTCCTCCCCGTACTAACTTCAGGGATTAAAAAAAACAACTCACATACAATTCACGTGCCATAAAATGCACGCTTTTAAAGGACACAGTTAGTGGTTTTTAGCATATTCACAAGGTTGTGCAACCAGCTCCCCAATCTAATTCCATTTCACTCCCCCTACCAAAAAAACCCGTACACACCAATAGCCACTCCCCATTCCCCCTCGCCCTGGCCCCAGACAACCAGCCTCCGAGTGGAACTGCTGGGCCACTGATGGCAGGTTTAAAGTTAACTCGAACTCACGCCAACTCAACACTAGCTCAGTTAATTACGATTATTCCTCTTTCAAATCTCGACCATGAAATTCCTTTCTCTGACCTGAAGCCCCTGCCTTCCACAACCCTCTCCATTCCCACCGACCCTCCTCTGTCCCCATCATGACTTCCAGTACCCCCAGCCCTCCCTACCCAGAAGACCACCTCCATTTGTCCTCACCTACTTTCTCCGGCATCGTTCACAATCAGCTAGTTCCACAAAGCACACCTGGCCTGAGCTTTTTTTTTTTTTTGGTTCCTTCACCTGTGTCACCTTCACAGCATCGGATTTTCTTTATTCCTCACCATGGACTTCCAAGTATCTCCCACATAACTGCTCCAAACCCCGATCTTCAAGCCCCCAGGCCTCTCAGTTGAAGGCTGGATCTCCTGTTTCATGCAGGTCACTGAGGTCATCCGATATGCAGTTCCCACGCCTCACTCCCTTAGTTCAAAAATCACGATGTCTGCGTCCTCCCCAACCCCTCCCTGTCTTTGGGGAAACATGTGTCCTTCCTTCTTGCTGAGGCTCAGCCCTTCTTTCTGGAATCCTCTCCTCCTACCAGCTCTTCCCCTCTGCCTACAAACGTCCCGACACCTTTAAAACATCACCCTCTCCTTCTGTAACCAAACTCAGTGAAGAAGCCACCTATGGCATCTGCCTTCATTTCCAAATTCCTGAACTGTGCTTTCCACCCCCAGAACTCTCTTGAAACTGCATTCTTAAAAATCGCCACTGACCTCCATTTGCCAAATCCAATGGCTTTCTTAGCCTTTATTCTTTCTTACACTTCTGACATTAGCGGTCTCCTTTTCTCTCTCTCTGTCTTTTCCTCAGCAACTTCGACCAATCCTATGGCTTTAACCCTCATGGCGGGACAAAAGATGACTCTATTTCTCTTCATATCAGCCTTTCTGCACACCTTGAGTCCAACTGCCTGCGAGTCACTCCCCCTGCACATTCCATCAGTGGCCTCAGCCTCCTTCCTTCCCCTCCATGTCCCCTTTTGTGGCGACCTCTGGCTCCTCTTCTCCTTCACAATTCAGACTAATCGTCTCTGGCCTGGACGATGACAGCGGATTCCTACTTGGTCCTCCTGTACTCTACTGAATTGGCTGACTTACAGTTTGCTTTACCACTCGTTTCCGATCGTTAAAAAACAACAACAAATGCTTTGCCTCTAGGAGCACCTACTCATTTCTCATTTTTACTTCCCCATTCTTAGAAAAACGCACCTTTCGATATTTTAAAATTTTTCTAAGATACCCATGTACTGAATTTTTTATGAGAAACACAGAAATTAGGGCCCATTCTCCCAGCCTCAATCAAATTTAAAAAAAAATAGACAGGGAGTATCAACTACCATTTTGGGGCCCTTGACAGGGAGGAAGGAGGGCCTGGCCAGTGGTTAGGAGGGACAGGCTCCGGGCAGGTGCTGACTGGACAGCTGAGTGCTGGACAAACGGGCGGGCGCCTTGCGGAGGGGAAAGAGCTCTGCCCACACTCCATTTACACTTGGCACGGGGACCAAGCGCTTAATTCCCACCCAGCATTTGGGGCCCATTCACACATTGCTTCCACCACAAAGCCCTGCCCAGTCTCCCAACTTTGTCTCACTCCCCACTTTCGAACCCCTGGAGCAAGGACACTTCTTATGCCCTAGTTTGGGTTTTTTTTTTTTTTTTTTAAAGATTTTTTATTTTTCCTTTTCCTCCCCAAAGCCCCCTGGTACATAGTTGTATATATATATATATTTTTTTTTAGTTGTGGGTCTTTCTAGTTGTGGCACGTGGGACGCCTCCTCAGCATGGCTTGATGAGCAGTGCCACGTCCACTCTCAGGATCCAAACTGGCGAAACACTGGGCCGTCGAAGCAGAGTGCATGACCTTAACCACTCGGCCACAGGGCTGGCCCCTAAGTTTTTGATGTTGGTGTATTTATCTTTTCCCTTTTACTAAATCTGAGGCTCGTGGTCGCCATGGCTGTGGCCGGTGTCTCACTTCTCCCTGCATTTCTCAGAGCGCCTGGCACACAGCCTCAAGACAGGAATCCTTGGTGGAGCTGGCTCAGGTTCTCCCTGACGCGAGTCTGACAGTCTTCAGCCCCTTTTAAACATCACAATCTCAATTTGATCCCACAGACAAATCTTGAAAGGATGAGAACAAGGTTGAACTGTCTTCTTATAGCTCTTGATTGGATCATAACACTATCACGACGTGATTCCCCTGCTGGGAGTCCTGGCCCAGGGTGGTGTCATGAGAATAAATGTGAGGGTGCCAGCTGGGTGGGGAACAGGGCACAAAGCCCACCGCTGTCCTTCTGAATCATAAGTTCCCAGTGCTGGCTTTTTACAAGTGACGGTGAATGTCTATAACAAACTAATTTTTACTTTTGTTGGGGTTAATTTCAACCACTGGCACTCTGAGGCTAGTATATCCAGGTGCAGGAATGGGTCATTCAGCTAGCTCAGTTCTGCTCACTCATTTATTCAACGACTGCCAACAGCCTTCCACAGGCCAGGCCTGTGCTGGGAGCTGGAGAGATGATGGCGAGTAAGACAGAAATGGCTCTTGACCTCATGCAGGAGGAGAGAGATGACAAGAGAACAAACAATGATGACCGCCTCAGAGAAGCGTTCTGAAAGAACCAGGGCACGGTGACAAATAAAGAAGAAGCATTTTAAACAGTGGGGACTCAGGAAGGCTAAAGGATGAGAAGGAGCCGTCCAGGCAAAGGGCCAGGGAGGAGACTTCCAGAGAGGAAGGCCTAAGGTGGAAAGGGGAGGCACGTTCGAGGAACTCTGAGGCCAGTGTGGCTGAAGCATACAAGCAAGGCAGCTGGGGCTGGATGAGGCCATGTCAGACGGCACTGGGCCCTCGTGACATGACAGGGAGTTTGACGTTTCACAGGGTTTTAAGTAGGGCACTAACAGACCAGGCCCCAGTCGATGACCTAACATCTGATCCCCCACAGCCTCATTCTCAGCGTATCGCTTTTATAAGCAGCAACACTAACGGAGGGTAGAACCTTTTTTCTTTATGGAAAATGGCCCTGGTGATGGTTCCCATGATGGAAGTAAAGAGAAAGCAAGAAAGTGATGGTTCTTAGCCAAAAGTCTTATGGAGAAATTAAATGTAAAAGAGGCATTTGCAAGTTCAGGGACGGCTGACTGTCTTGGGATGTGAAAGTCAAGGATCTATTATAGAGTAGGGTTCCTCAGCCTCGGCAGTATTGACATTTGGGGCCAGAGCATTCTTTGTTGCGGGGCCTGTCCTGCGCATTGTAGGATGTTCAGCAGCATCCCTGGCCTCCACCCACTCGATGCCAGTACCTCCCACCTCACCCGTGTTGTGATAATCAAAATTGTCTCCAGACCTTGCCAAGTGTCCCCTGGGGGGAAAGACTGCCACCAGCTGAGACCGAATGAAAGACACAGTGAAATACACACGCTCCCAAGAGAAACTTCAAATAAATCTCAGCGCAAAAGGCTGTTTAAAAACTTTACAAAGAAGCTAATTAGGGATAAACTGTTGGCAGCTAGGAACAGAAGTGGGTAATCTCATTTGTCGTGTGTTGTTGCCAGTTTTTAGTTCCAAAGTAAGCACTCTGCGCTGGGTGGGGCTCAGGGGTTCCCGTAGGATGATGTAAGACTTCTTCACCCTCCTGGCAAGAGCTGATCCTCTTTACCTTCAGTAAAGGTGACCAGTAAGGACCAATCACAAGGAGCAGACCATGGAGACAGGAAGCAAATCTGAGCTGAGCCACAGGCCGGGTCAAAGGCAGTTGTGGGGCAGGAGGAAGAGGAAGGAGATGTTGTCTTCTGCTTAGGTGACAGTTCTGTGGGGACAGCCTCCTGGGAAGTGTGGCAGAAAGCTGAGGCAAAGCCTTACTGCAGTCACAGTGTGCGTGCTGCAGCCACGGCAGCCATGCAGAGTCTCCTCCCATTCTCAACTCTTGCTCTGTGCTGACCTGCAGAAGGCACAGTCCCTGCTCCTTGGGATGGCTGACCTGCTCCCCATGCTCTGGGGAGTTCAGCGCAGTGTTCCGGCTGCCTCACCTCCTGCCCGGCAGCCTTACACATGAGGCAGGGGTCACGGGCATCTGTCAACGGCTTCCCCTCTGACAGCTGTCAGAGGAAGCAGAAGGCAGCAGAGATGCGGAAGCAAAGACTAGGATTTCAGGCTATGCAACAAGCACTCTTTCCTTAGAAAGAAACAGCAACGATCTTCGGCAAGACCGGCCGGCAGGAGGTGGCCTTGGCAGCTGACTCTTTCGTAGGTGGTGATCTACTTCATCCCCTGTTTTGGTCACACAGTCCCTTCAGTGCTGAGCCACTCCTGGTCCCCGTAAATGGGGAAACAGATATGCCCGTTCTGAGGTCACTCATGGGGGGACGTACCGGCCTGAATCACATTCCTGTGTCCAATACCATCCTTGAGAGGGTCTGTCATCTGAGTCCCCTGAGAGGCTTGTCTGCCCATTACAAATATTTTATGCAGAGTAATGCAAGCTAAAGCAAACATCCCTGGCACCTAGGAAGGGGCAGAGAACTCACAACAGGGCAACCTAGAGGTACAGAGAAGCTTTGTGTTGGGAATGTCCAGGTTACGGGCACATTCATTCAGCTTATCTAGGCTGAGTGGATGATGACCCTTACACCCTTTCCTGGTCTCACAGGGGATTAAGGACTGTTCTCTCAGGATGGCAGAGTTAAGGAAACCTGAGGAATAAGGCATGTTCTCTACTCAAAACCTGATCACTAACTCCTGGCAATGTCATCTCATCTTCAACACCACCCATCTCTGCCCCACATCCCTCTTCAACAGAAGAACAAGAGAATATAAGCAGTTGTTTACAGTACATGCCCGGCACAGGCCCTCAAACATAGACCTCAAACAAAACCAAACACATAGGAAATGGAAAGGTAAAAAACCCAGAACCAGCTGGAGCTTTTAGGCCTCCCTGCCCAGTTTCCTGCGGGCACATGCTGGCATGTGAAATGATTACTCGAACAACTGGAGACATAAGAAAAGTGGGTATAATACGTTGTTTCCTTCCCCAAACTCAGTTATAGAAATGACTCATCTCTAAGTTTACAGATGTTGTGAGAAGCAGCAGGAACTTTGGTGACTTTTACAGACAGCAGAGACATTTTGAGGCTGACACCAAGAGGAGGCTGAGAGCTGTCACATGATTCCTCAGATGAGACGGACACAATTTGATTCATTCCAAGGTTCCAGAAAGACTTCCCCTGATCAATTATTGAGGTGAAGGAGGCTCCCCTGGTGCCACACACGAATGGCACAGGCCCAGCAGGAGGACCTCGGTGCGAGGAAGGCTTTTCCAGCTGTTCCCAGATGCCTCCTTATCCATCACACCACAGCTCTGGAGTGTGTGAAGCCGGCAGAAACAGAGCGAGGATTCCCCAGGCTAGGAAAGTCAGTGCAAGATAGGGCAGCTGTTTAAGGTTAGGTAAGTTCTAGAAAGAGGACTCCTGCTACTTAAGGCAGCGCTGCTTTTCCCCAGGATACTCTGTAGCAATGTGAGTCAATCATTTGATAATTCCAATCCTCCAGCTACTTATCCAGGCAAGAGGACTCTGATGTAACCATGACAGATCTTACATTACACAAAGAAGATAAACTGAGTGTCTGTGTGTGGGGGAATGCAGATCCAAGACAGTGAGAAATCAATCATTCTAATTGTCCTAATTACAGACTCCACCAAACTGCAGTTGGAAGTCTGCATGATTCTCTGCCTCTTACACCATCCAAGACTATAAAAGTTGTGCAACTTAAAATTCAGCTAAAAGCCAAAGTGGTTTCAAACTGCAGAGATGAGCAAAACCCAGTCAAGAGCTGTCAATCACTGCCTATCTGAACGGCTGCAGTTTGCAAGCGGTAGTACGCCTGAGATAAATATTACAAAGAGTTAGCAAGTCAAATTTGTTTTCTTGACCACTGTCTGATCAACATCTAAAAAGTGAACAAACTTAACTCTCAGAACGTGTTCTGAGCCAGGACAGCAGCAACATGGCCGCTGCTGACTCGCGTTCCCCAAACCCGGCTTTCACCAGCGTCTACGCAAGCAGCTGCACTCACATTACAGCTCATAGGAGGCTGTGTGCTTCTCTAGAAGCCAGGGACACTGATGTGGGCAAAAGAGGTTCTAAAAGTAAAACTCACGTAGGGAGAGTAGAGTTCCCCAGTCTCTGTGATTTCGCCTGCCATTTCCAAAAGTGAGGAAGGGTCGGCGGGTAGCCAAGGTTCCTTTGGTGCGGGGGCGGCGGCTGCAGCTCCCTAAGGCGAAAGAGCAGACTTCAACTTTCTGATAGACCCACCCCGCCCCTCCACCCCTGTCCTTTTATCACAGACACTTCAGGCCTCAATAGCTGTCACAAGACAGCCCGGAGGGAAGGGTTTCCCTGGATGACTGACACCTAGGTGGTTTCTTCTAACTCTTTCCTTGCTGTGCAGGGTATGAATGTAATTCAATGCCGCTCAGACTCCAAGCGGTTTAAGGGGCCTCGGAAGCCACGAAGTCTCACCCACCACAGCGCGCCCTTTACTCACTCTGTGGTGGCGATCCCCATTTAAGGCCAGGAACTGCGAGCTCACTACCACACAGGGCAGCCCAAGCAACTGCCTCCTCCGCCCAGGGCAAGGGGCTGGGGGCTTTCCTAGGAGCCCTCCCAACCCAACTCCTTGACCCAAAGTCTCTCCTTTTTAACGGGGCCTCCACTCCCTGTCCCCCAACCTGCCGTGGTCCTCCCCACTCTCAAGCCTTTCCCTCTTCTCAAGGGCCCCGCTCCGAGCCTCCCCGCGGCTTTTTCCTCCCTCTTGGAGGAACCCCGAGTCTGACGCCGCCCCAGCCTATCCCACCTCACCCTCCCGCCCGGCCCGACACCTGCAGCGCAGCTCGCTCCGGGCTGCCGCGGCCGCCGCCTCCGGCCCCTTGGTTGCTCCCGGCGCCAGCTGTCCTGCACCAGCGCCCACAGCGCGCATGCGCCTGCGCCGGGAGCCCACCCTTTTCCGCACGCGCTTTGGGCGGGGCGTCGCGCGCTGATTGGGAGCCTCGCGGAGGCGGAACTGGGATTGGGCCCTGGCGGCTGCCGTCTGCGTGGCGGAAGTGGGCGGAGTGCGCTCCCAGGCGCATGCGGGAGGGGGTGGCTGTCGGCCAGGTGGGGAAGCCGGGCGCCTGGGAACGGTTTGCTGGGGACGCTTTCATCGGCCGGCAGTGGTTGTAAACTTGGCCGTTCCGGGACCCTGGTGGTTAGCAGGGAGGGGTTGGGGGAGGGTTCGAGGAGAGTTGCCGGTAGCTCCACACAGAGGGGAGGGGATTGAGAATTTAAGCCTGCCTCACCCTAAAGGTGCCTGAGAGTTTTGAGTGGGGGGCGGGAAGAGGGAGGGCCGGAGCCCATTGGGGTAGTCGCTAGGGTTGGAGATAGGTTTAAGAGAGGGCTGAAAGTTGATCCTGGGGTGGAGGCTCAGGACTGGGGCAAGTGTTGGGAGCTGTGGGGTTAAGTCTTGGTGCTTGGGTTTGAGGCATCGAACTTCTGGGAGGTGGGGCGGAAGGCGCTGGCTGAGATGGTAGCTGCGGCTTGGCTCCTTAAGATGCGAGTAAAGGATTGTTTAATTATCTTTAACCAGCCCGGTTCCCCTTCTTGCAAGGGGTTTAGAGTCCCTGTTCTCTGAAGAGTTTGGAAGGAAAGAAGGACCGAGGCTCTTCTGACAACTTAGCTCTAGGAGGCACTTAGGGAATTGAGAGCGCGGCTCCCATCCTAAGTGGGAGGAGGCTCAGGGTCCTGAAGTCTTTGCCCTCCCCACCCGCAGGCTGCTACCATGAGGTTAAATCAGAACATCTTGCTGCTGGGGAAGAAGGTGGCGCTGGTACCCTACACCTCAGAGCATGTACCTAGGTAACCGTTGCACCTGATGTGAGGTGCAAGCCAGCTCGCGTGGGCGCAGCGAGGAGGGTCAGCCTTCTTTAGTCCAAATCTCAGAGGGTGTTTCTTCTGAGAAGGAGAAACATTGGTGTGAGAAGTGATTACATACAGGAAAAAGTGAAAACTGAAGCAGAGGACTATGATTTCCCTGGGGGAAGTCACCCATCCCCCTGTTTTTCCCTTTCACCCTCTCAGCTTCCTTTTTGGCCTTTCAGCAAGGAATTATTGTATGTAAACTAAATGTGTGTAAGAAAAAAAAGATACTGTCCTCTCACCTAATTGTAAATTGGTGACATTCTCCTGGTGCCAGTGAATATGCTCAGTTCTTGGAGAGTAAATGTTAGCTTGTCGTAAAACTGAGCTGTTCTGATGTCTACTGTTTTGAAAAGCCAGGGCTGAGTCACAGGGTGGGACTCCTGTGGGGGCAGTTGGCAAATGCCTGGTAGATTGAGATGATGGTAGCATAGGGGTGTATTCGCTACTTGTAGTTTTTCTTTTTGGGGATTCCTGGTGCCCGGCCTTTGTGGACGTCTGTCCAGCCTTCTTTGCTGAGATCGGCTTGCCATATACTTCCCCTCAGGAATTTGAGGAATGTTTAGCTTTAGACTGCTCCCCCGCATGGACCCCTGAGACAGGAAGCTGGACAGATAGAATGGACTCCTCCTTCTGTTCTCTTGTAGGACTAGCCTGCCTCTAGGTCTGCCTGTGGCCCTCTGCCTCAGGAGCAATTATAACCCTTTTTTTTGGCTCTTCTGTGAGCCCTGTGTTAGCCTGTGGGGTTCTCCTTTCTACCATCCATGTCTTCATCTCATAAATGTCAGACCCATGCTTCTGAATCACTCCTGCATGCTGAAGGCCATCTTTCTGTCCTTGCAGATACCATGAGTGGATGAAATCAGAGGAGCTGCAGCGTCTGACAGCGTCTGAGCCGCTGACCTTGGAGCAGGAATATGCGATGCAGCACAGCTGGTGGGAGGATGCGGACAGTGAGAAGTGGAGGCCCCAGGCTGGGCTGGTGGTGGGAGGGCTGACTCCAGAGGCAGCCGCCAGGTTCCCTCCCTTTCTCATTCCCTGCTGTAGCCTTTCTGGGACCACAGAAACTTTGTGAAAGGCACTTTGTGAAAAGCCTGGAAGGTGCCCGAAACTGTTATACTCTGATGCCCACGGAAGCTGGTCTCTGTGGCTGATGCTTCTGTCTTCTTCCCTACTCACTGCCCCAGGCTTGGAAGAATTTAGAGAAAGTAAAGCATTTTGGGCTCTGGCTGTAAATTGAGACCCTGCCTCACGTCTCTTGCCGCATGCCCTGTGTGGTTACTGTTCTTTTTTGGGTCCCCTGCTCTCTGCGAATACAGTTGCTGTTTGGAGAAGGCCATTGTTTCTTGCATGAGGCAGACTTAGGGGTTTGTAGTCAGCTGAAGGAAGCTCTGGCCCCCCTGTCCTCCCGCCAGACTCGGAGAGGATGGTAGTTCTGGCTTGGGTAGGAAGACTGTCCTCATTGCACTTCTTTGGGGAATGTAGGTGATAACCCTGTTGCCTTCCTCCTTAGAGTGTACCTTTATTGTGCTGGATGCAGAGAAGTGGCAGGCCCAGCCAGCTGCCACCGAAGAGAGCTGCATGGTGGGAGATGTGAACCTCTTCCTCACAGATCGAGGGGACCCCTCCTTGGGGGAGATTGAGGTCATGATTGCAGGTTCGTTCCACCTGGCCTTGCCTTCCCCACCTTCTGGCCCTCAGATCTAAGGAAGCTTAAGCCAGGTGAGGCCTCATGGGGCACTCAGAGAGCTCAGTGGGAGGCTCCGGCACTGGGGAGCCTGGCCCCTGGCTGGGGCAGACTGCCACTTGGTACCCCATTACCTGGTGGTTCACTTTATTCCTGTCTTATGCTTAGGTGTGAATTTAACCTTTGGCTTTAGGGTCTTCAAACTTCAGGGTGCCCCATCCAACCCTCCAAAAATAAGTGATCTTCCCTGGAACATCTTCCCATGCTGTGGGAGGAGCCCCTCCAGTTTCCATGCCTTCTTGGTTCCCAGCCTTCTCCTAAGGGGCTATGTGCTTGTCCTCATGAGGCAGCACAGTGAGGTTAAGGGGTCAGCTTTGGGGTCAGGTTACTGGGTGTGTCCAAGCCGTGAGACCTCTGGTGAGTCATTTAACTCCTCTGTGCCTGTCTCCTCATCTGCAGAATGGTGATAATATTTATGAATTAGAGTTGTGAGGATTCAGTGAGATCGTACCTGGCAGGTGCCTGCACTGGAGCCTGGCACGTGGTGTCAGTGATTGTTGTTGTTTCTCCTAGAGCCCAGCTGCAGGGGCAAGGGCTTCGGCACTGAGGCTGTTCTCATGATGCTATCTTATGGTAAGAGAGTCCAAGTGGACAACGTGGGCAAGTTGCTGGGCCCAGGTGAAGGCTAGGGCATGTTGGGAGTGAGCCGGCCTCTGGCCCAAGGGTGGGGGCAGGTGATAGGTGCCTCCACTGCGAACTGGGACAGGAGGGGCGGACGGGGTGGGGTGCTCCTTCATCCTGCAGCTTCTCCCTCTGTCTCATCTCTGGGAGGAGTGACCAGGCTGGGTCTGACCAAGTTTGAGGCTAAAATTGGGGAAGGAAATGAACCAAGCATTCAGATGTTCCGAAAACTTCACTTTGAGCAGGTAAGGATGTTGCTGAAGGGAGGATGAGGCCTGCGTCTGGGTGGTGGGATGGACCCGGTGGGGCCAGAACTTGTGGCTGTCAATTAGCTGTCCCTATTCCCTCTGGCTCACATAGGTGGCTGTGAGCACTGTCTTCCAGGAGGTGACGCTCAGACTGATGATGAGTGAGCCAGAGCGGCAGTGGCTTCTGCAGCAGACCAGCCACGTGGAAGAGAAGCCCTACAGAGATGGGTCATTGGAGCCCCACTGACAGTAGGCCTGGTGGGCAGCCACCCTGTGTAAATGGGTGTGTCAGGACCACACACTCCAGAAGACCAGAACCCTGCAACAGGAGGTGAATGGACAGGGTCTGCAGGGCAGAGTGGCCCTGGCCCCGCTCCAGGCTGGGCATCTCCTTTCGGGGCCTTTCAAACTCTAGGTCGGACTTGCCTTGGCCTCCCTCAGGCTGGCAGCGACTCCAGGGCCAGCCCCTTCTCCTGCCCAAACCTGGATTCAGACTCTCAGAACCTGGAGTGGACAGCACGAATCCACGGGAGGAGGCTGGGTGGGGGTAAGCTGGAGATGAAGGGGGTCTGGTGAATGGGCAGGACCTCCCTTTCCCCTGCAAGGCCAGAGGCACAGCCCTGGCCAGCAGTAAAGCACACTGTACGGCCAGCTTTCCCCGTGTTCTCATTGGGCCCGTGTGGAAGCCTGCAGCATCTGAGCCAGTGTGGTAGGAATGGGGCAGGGGTAGCTCAGTCCTCTTGTCCTGCGGAAGCAGGCTGGGTGTGACCCCGGAAGGTCTGGAAATGAATGAGGTGGATCATGGAAGGACAGACAGCTGGCTTGGAAAATGGGTGAGCGTTCCCACTCCTTCTTTCTCTCCTTTGGAGCCAGTTTTGAGTGTTGAGTAAGTTAATTTGGAATACAGCTCCTTGTGACTTGAGAGCACCCCTCTGCTGATGAAGCTTTGGGCCTCCTGCTTAGTTGCAGGGGCTGCAGGAGGAAGCAAAGGCCACTCAGCGGTACCCTCTGGAAGGCACCTGTGTCCTCCCCCTCTCCTCCCCTCACCCCTCCACCTCTGGGAGCAGCTGCACCTAACAAGGCCACGAGGGGGCGCCGGAGGCACAGGCTCGGGATGGCCAGGCTGCCTGGCACCCGTTGCTTAACAGGCAGAGCCCGGTCAGGACTCCCCACCTCAGAGCAAGGGGGCCACGTTTTGACTTCTACCTGTCCCTTGTGCACTGTCATAATCTGGGGTGGCTATCAAGAAAGGCTCGGCATGTCTCAAAACACAGTCATGGGAAAAACTCTTGAGGGCACCTAGGGCATTTTGAGGGGAGGAAACAGTCCCAGGCAAGTTGAGGCGACTGACTTGCCCAAGGCCTCAAGAGTTTGAGAGGGCAGAGCCAGAATTATTGCTGAGGCTTTCCCCTCCCAGTCCTCTCGATCCTGGCTCTCACACAGGTGTGCATGTGAAAAACTAGACTCTAAAAATGTGCCTGGATCTAAGACACAAGCTTCGCTTGCTGGGGCCCCCTTTGTACTATGCCCCGGTCCCTCAGGGATAGGCATTCCCGCTGAGCCACCTGTTCCTTCCACCTGTCTTCAGCTTAACCAGAGTCAAAGGTCCCTACAGCTTCCCCACTCAGCAGGTGATGTAGAGAGGGGCCCCTCCACAGCCCCATAGGGGAGCCCTCCATCAGGGGTGAAAGGGTGGACGGGGGGGGCAGGCCAGGCCCAGCCAAGCAGGGCCTGGGGCGACTGGTTCCATGATGAGGGTTTTGGATGGTTCCTCTTAAGGCTGGTGGAATCCAAACCCTAACAAGGGGCCAAGATGGTCCGATAGTGACTCGTCCTCTCAACCCCAAGGGCTCCCCAGGTCCCCTCCCTGGCTCACTCTCTTCTTCTTCTCCTCAGTCCTAGAAACTGGCTTCTGAGTGGTCTCCTGGTTGAGTGGAGAATAGCCCGGGGCCAACTTCCCTTCCTTCTCTCTGAGCACCTGCCCTGGAACCTCCTAGCCCAGCAGCCTCAGCTCTGGCAGGCCACCCTGGCAGACCCCCAGGACGTGGCCTCAGGTGCCAGGGGCACGGATCTCTTGTGAAGGAGCGGGGCGTTTCACCCTTGGAAGGTCGTCTCCACCCTAACTGCCACATGGCATATCCCAGGGCCCAGTGGGCCAGGTTTGTTGTCCCCTAGGCCTGGACAACTGCCCTCCAATCGGGTCCATGGCCATATAAGATAGAGTATCTGGCGCCAACTCAGGCCACTCCTGGGAATCCTGCACCCCGCTGGCTGTGGGCAGAGAGATTAAAGGCAAGTCTCTGCATTCCGAACCCAGCTCATCAGGGCCTCTCACTTTCAGTGCTCCTGGAGTTAGAGGACCTCTCAGAGCCCTCTGAGCATGTGGCGCTCAGCCCCCACTTCCCACTTTCCCTGAAAAACATCCCTATAGGGCAGCCCCAGCATGCACAGGCATGTTGACCACCAAGTGAAGTACACAGGAGCTGGGTGGGTCTCGCTCCCATGGGGCTCACAGCCTGGACACCTGGGCAGCTACAGGCTCGAGGCCTGATTAAAGCTACTCACCTCCCATGCCCAGGCTAGGGAGGGAGCCCTGGATCATCCTCTCCCTCCAGCTGTACCCTACCCTCTCAGCCAGAGGCCACCCTAGGAACACCCGTTTGTCATATTTCAAGGCCAGAGCTCTAAAGGAAGACACAGAGGCCGAGGTGGTTTGGAGAAATCAGTTGGATTGCTGACAGAGTTTCCTTATAATGGTGGTGCCTGGCTCAGGGCTGGGCTGGGCATCTTCAAACCCTCCCCATGCTGCCAGGGTCTCTAGGGTAGGAGAAGAAACAAAGTTTAAGGCTGGGGCTGCTGCTATGTCCAGGATGCAACAACCCAGAAAATCATGTTAATCAAAGAAACAAAAATCCCTCTAAACTCTGTGATACTGCACTCTTTAAAAAAAAAAAAAAATCAAATGAACAAAAATAAAACGCCCAAGCCACAGCTTTCAGGATGATGCACTCCTGTCCACTCTGAGATGTTGTCGCTGTAATCAAGTCCTTGATCAACCCTGGACCCAGTCATCACTTGGGGTCGTGAGGGAAGGTGACCTCTCAACCAGTCCAGTCCTTGCTTGGTGCAGGTCCCAGTGATGTCCCAGATGGGGTGGCAAGGGGACAGCTGGTAGGCTGAAGCACTCAGGGAGGAGGAGGGGGACAGAGTCCGCTTTTTGATTGGGGCAGGACGGAAAAACATTCACTTTCCTTGTAGTAAGGGAAGAATATAGTTCTCTAGAAAAAGCAGATTTGCCAAGATGGGAGATGCTGGTGCTGATTTGTATGTCGATTTGGGGGTAAGTGGGGAGGAGGGGAAGGGAGTTAGGTTGCGGTATGGGAGTGGCCAGCCCTTCCAGCTTTCCTGGGGGGCTGGTGAGAGGGGCGCTCAGAGGTTGCTGAAGAGTTCGTTTTTCTTGCTCCAGTCCATCTGCGGGGCCCGTTTGCTGCTGCGCTTCTGGTGGGCCCTCTCTTTGGCCATGGCCAGGGAGATGTTGAAGTCCAGGATGGGGTCAGAGGAGGAGGTAGATGAGGGTGCTGTGGAGTCCTGTTTCTTGGGGCTGTCTTGGGAATTCAGCTGTAAAGAGGAAGGGGAGGCACAGAGCGGGAGTCAGCACCCAGCGAGGCATCTGGGCCCTCAGTCTCGGCGAGGTGGCTCCCTTGGGGCAGCGCCCAGGGAAGCCAGGTCACAAGAACAGAACGTGACTCAGCATGTGACCTCCAAGGCCAGCTGGTGTGCCAGGAATGAGTGTGGCCTGGGAATGGGCTTCCTGTAAACCAGCGCCACCCCCCACCCACCTAGCCAGTCAGCCTACCTCCTCACTGGTATCGCTGGAGGTGGTTCTAGCCAGGGCTGGCCTGGGGCTCTCGGAGGCCGTCTCGGCCAGGGCTTCACGACTGTTCTCCTGGCACAGAGAGGAGGGTTGTGGGTTGGTGGAGGATGGAGTGGGGAAGTCCTGAGCAAGGAAGGGGGTTCCCAGGGAAGACAGGTGCCTTGGTCTGAGAAGTTCCACTCAGGGCCCTGCCATTCCACACCAAAGCCCCACCGCCTGAGCCTGCCAGGGCCCCTAGAGAGATTTACATTTTTACATTCCTCCAAGGATCAGAGGGCAGCTAGCTGCACCACCTAGGTAGAAGGGACCATTGTGGGATTAGCTGAGTTGCTCACTCCTCTTAAGTCCTCCCAATGTAGCTTTCAGGGCTGGCTCGCCTTTTAGGCCAGTGACCAAGAAGCGCCTTCTGGAGTGTGGGGACACCAGGGCCTCTTTGCTTGGCAGGTGATGCTCCCTGAACCTCCTGTGGCCCACCTGTTTACTTGGACTTGACCCCAGGAATCTTAAAACCTTAACCCCAAAGCAGCCAAGAAGGGCTCTGAAGGAATAAGGTGGATGAGTTCTGGACCCATAGGTTGAGTGACAGAGGGTTCAAGTGGTCAGGGCTGCCCCCCTTGTTGTGTCCCCCAGGAGGAGCCCCTGGGGAAGGGGAACCTTTGAGCAGACCCTGCAGAGCGCTCCTGCTCCTGGTCTGACTCTGAGAAGGCCTGTCCCGGAATGAAGGCCTTGGCCAGGGATTAGGCTTGGCGCTCAGCTCCTGCCTGGGCTTCTCTGTGGCCTCAGCTGGCACCCAGCCCCACCATCTCTTCCCCAGCCTCCACTGCCTTCTTTTCCCTTCTGCCCAGGGAGGAGGGGGGAGGGGCTTTGTTCTTCCAACCCAGACTGGAAGTAGCAGGGGCTGGGCAGCGCGGCCAGACACTGAAGCTCTGTTCTTGGGGGGAAGAATGGCCTCTTCTGTACAGTGGGGAGTTGGAGGCAGGGCTTGTCACCCAGGATGGCGGGCTGCAGAGGGGCCCAGCCAGGCCTCTCCCTGCCGATGCTTGGCCCTAAGGCGGGGGCCGAGGGGTACACCAATAGTTACACAGCTTGAAGCTCAGGAGGCAGCAGCTTGGAAAGCGCAGTTCCAACCTGAGCCAGACAGCTCTCCTCTTCCCCACCATGCCACCTTCCCCCTCCTCCCGCAGCCCCCGGGCTGAGAGCCAGAGAAGCAGTTAGGGGGTCTGCCTTTACCTTCCGGATCTCCCCATTGGTAAAGGGCTCGGGCAAGGGACCTAGGTGGAGGAAAAAAGAGCAGAGGTGAGTCCTGGAGTGTGGGGAAATGGGGATGGAGAGGAGGTGAGAGCTGTGGGGTTTGGGCAGATAATTCGATCCTGTTCCCGAGGTCAGTGCTTAAAAGTGCCTTGCCTGCAACCCCCTATAAGTACATTTGGTGACCCAATGACACAAAGATTGTGCATGTGTGTAACACAAGTTTCACGAAACAAATTACCCTTACTACATCCCCCCACAACTTATCCTCACTGCATCGCAAAGCTCTTTGATGTTTTCTATTCAATTTCATTTAAAAAAATATGCTGGTGTCTGCCTACTAAATTAATCTCATGAACCACTAATGGGTATTGAGCTGTTTGAAAAAAAGGCATTGTCCTAGATGGAGCTGAAGTTCTGGGCTGGCTACCTAAGAATCATCTGGGGAAGCTTGTTAGAAATACAGATTGCTGGGCCTCGGCACCAGAGCTGCATATTCAGTGGGTCTGGGGCAGGCCTAGGAATCAACATTTTTTAAATGCTTCCTAGGTGATGATGGTGTCATCAGAATTGGAACCACACCCAGGTTATGGTTAGTACCTGCCTTGGCCACTTGCCAGTGTGGAGATGAAGGCACAAGAGAGCTCAGGGAAGTGTCCTGGGTGTGCCCTTCCCCAGCCAATGGAAAACCTGGTGGTGGCAGGAGGGGTCATAGAGGAGAGAACACCAGCCTGGGGTCACCCTCATTGGACTCACTCAGGATAGAGGCCCCACGTCACTGCAAGGAAGGCTGTTCCACCTCCAGGGACTGGTGAACCTGGGTGGGTGCCTTCTGAACTCTGAGCTTAACATCAATGAGCATCTTTCCCCTTGCCCTGGACCAGGGCCCGGGCAATCAGCCATACCTGACTCTCACCGTTTCTGCCCTTTTGACACCCATAGCCTTCCCACAACGGTTGGGCAGGGGCAGAGGGATGCCCTTCCCCACGAGCTCCAGGCTGTCTCACTGTGGCCAGGAGGCAGCCACTGGGAGGGGAGGGCCTTCTTCTATGGGGATAGTTACATCCAGGTGGGAGGAATGGGGAGAGGACACCACCCTGGAGAACCCAAGGGACACCTGGGAAGGAGACCTGCCCCAGTCCCTCCCTGTGCAGGTCCCTTGGCCAGAGGCTGCAGTCACTGTAGTTCTTAGGGCTCTTCCTCGCTAACCAGAGAGAGAGAGAAGAGGGAGGGACTTCTGAGGGCTGACTACTGGGAGTCGGGGAGAAGGATGCTGGGGGAGGCAGGGGAAGGTATTTGAAGAGCTGAGTATTTCAGCTGAGTCTTCCCGAACACCATGTCCCCAAAAGCAAGACTGGGGCTTCTCTGGGCCTCAGTTCACCTGTCACTGAGGAAGGGGAGTATCTGAGTTACCTGGTTTCCACAAGCTTGAGAGACAAGGGTAAGGTGATGCCCACCTCCTATGCCCAGTTTTCTAGGGATTTCAACTGACCCATTGTCTTTCCAAGAACCTTGAGATCCAACAGGCCCCTCCAGCTAGGGATCTAAGTCTGTGAGAGGACCTTAGTGTGGACCCTGTCCCCCCACCCTGCAACTATAACCCTGACACCCTCAGGGAGGCCCTACCCATTGCAAAGTCCGAAAAGGTTCCACCCCTCCTCCATGCCCCCAGGAGCCATCTTCCCAGGGAGAAAGTTCAGACCAGACAGCAGAGCACAGCTGAACTTCTCCCCGCCCAGTGTAGCAACCCTGCCCTGTTTGGCTTGGGCTCTGGCAGGGGGAGGTGCCAGGCTTAGCAGGGTGATGGTGGGGGCTGGGGAGGGCAAGGGCCCAGGGACCGAGGGGGCACCCACCGCTCTCTAGAGCCAGCAAGCCTGGGTTTCCAAGACAACCTGAGAGAAGGGAGGGGGAGGCACTGGGCCCCTGTCACTGGACTCTGATCTGACGAAGCAAAGCCTGGAGGCCTCCCCAGAGTTAACCCTTTCCTTGCATCAGCACTGCCCTGAGGACTTGCTGGGGGTGGAGTGTGGGGCCCAGGCCATCCTCAGGGACCACTGCCAATCCCTGCTTCCTCTTCTGACATAGGCCCCTCTCTCCCAACCCACACCTCTGGGCCTCCCCTGAAGGAGAGGGAGGGAGCTTCGAGGCAGGAAGCTGCCCACCCCTCACCTGGGACACAGTCAAGTCTAGAGCACTGGCCCACATCTCTGACTTGGGGGCCTCCTGTTGCCCCACTCAGCTCACCATTCAGGTGCTCCTGAGACGGGATCACTTTGCATTTCTTGAAGAACTCATCAGTCTCCTTGTCCACCACCAGCAGTTTGGTCTCGTCCCCACCAGCCTTGATGGCGCACACCACATCCCCATGCTGCTTGCCCTCCACGCAGACCCCGTTCACCTGTGGGTGGGGGCAGGAGTTACTGGCACAGGCCTCAGTTCTGGGGTGGGTAGGTGGAAGAAATATAAGTGGTCCTCTTCATCCTTGGCCAGCCGGCAATGTGGGGACACTCAGCCCCCCTTTGCCTTTAGGGTCCTGAACTAGGCCGAGTGGTCTTCCCACTTGACAGTCAGATGGGGAGGCAGCACACGTGGGAAATGTCAAAGAAAATATCCGACAAGACTAAACAAACGCAGCTCTGACAGATGAGATGGGAAAGATCTGGGAGGCCCGGGCTGGGCCCTGGCTTCTCTACATACTCACTGTCCGACTTCCCTCTCTGAGCCTTGGCTTGTTCAAGTGTAAAATGAGAAGTCTTGGGAGAGCTGATCTTCAAGCTCTAAGGTTCTAAGACTGAGATTCTGGGACTTGCCCATGGCATTTGATTCACGTTTCCTCTCCCGTTGAGCACAGCACAAGAGTGTGTGCGTGCACCTGTTTCACCCTCCTGCCCACATCCCTGTGCCTGACATGGAGGCCTCAGGCAGGAAACCCCGGCGGTGGCCCCAGACCTCTACCTGGGTGGACAGTTGAATCATGGGCTGCTGAGCGTGTCTGCTCGGTGAAGAAGAGCCCAGGGGAGGTGGGGGCAGGAAAGAAGTCAGTCCATTCATCCATCCATCACCTGTTTTTCCTTCTTTCCCTCCTGCCCACCCACCAACCATTCTCCCCCAACCCCCCATCCATCCATCTATCTGGCATCTATAGGCGGCCTGGGCCCCATGGGGTAACAAGGAGCAGATGGTGTGACAGCTGCCCCAAGGGTTGCTTATCTGTAGGGAGGCAGTCAGGAAGGAAGACCCTGGGAAGAGGTGAGAGGCATTACCTCCACAATGCGGTCATGGACCCGGAGTCCTGAGGCCTCGGCGGGCGAGTCAGGGTCCACCGCCCGGATGAACTGGCCTGGCTTGGACTTCTCGCTGTGCAGGTTGAAGCCATAGCCATTGGCGCCCTTCTTCATGGTGCAGAGCCGAGGCCGAAGCTCACGCTGTGGGGATAAAGGAGGGTCCACGGCCATTCCACATCACCCTGGGTCCCACCCTCCCTGCCCTGTACCTGACCCCACCTCCCCACCAAGGAAGATTTGGGAATAATGCAGGTTTGCTCAGAGCTGACACAGCAATGGGAGAGAATGCTGGCCAGGACTCAGGGGACCTGCATGGAGACCCGGCGTTGCAGCAAACTGCCTCGGTGACCCTGGGCAGAACACTGCCCCTGTCCAAGCCTCAGTTTCCTCTTCTGGCAAATGAGGGGTAGGACCTGATGAGCTCTCAAGTGTCTTCTCCTTTTGACATTCTAAGGTTCATCACGTTATTTTGGTTGCTGCCCCATCCCTCCCTGCTATGGCTCAGCCTGGCCCTCCGCGGGGGTGGTGTGTGCACCTGGCACCTGTGACTGGGCCCTTTGGACCCCGCTCTCTGCAGCAGGGGAGAGAGAGGCAGGTGTTCACTGAACGCTGGTCAGCATGTTTACAGTAAAGCCCTCCCTTCCAAGGCTGGTCCTGCTGAGGGCAAAGGCAGCAACAGAACCTCTGTGGGTCCCCAAGGAGGCTGAAAGGAGAGGGCCAGGAAAAGCAGGGCTGGGCTGAAAGGGGCCCAGTGTAGCTGCGGTCATGGCCGGAGAGGGCAGCCTACTGAAAGGGCACAGGCGTCTCTCTCTGGAGCATTCAGACACTCCGCTGAAAACGGTTTTCACCGTCTTTGGTCCAGCTTAAGCAGCTTAGCTTAGAAGCTGCAGCCCCAGGACATGTTCACATGATAGAGGGGATACGGGTGTGAGTGGGCCAAGTAACTGAAACCTCGGCCAGAAGCCTAAGGACTGAGTTGGGGTCCCTGTCCCCCTCCTCCCAGGCCAGGGGCAGGGCTGCAGCAGCCAGTCTGCTAACTCTGGGTTATCACTGGGGACACCAGGCAATGGCAGTGAGCAATGGCCAGGACCACAGCCCTCGCCCAAATTCCAGCTTCCCTGCTTACTAGCTACATCACCTGGGGCAGTAATTTTCTTCTGAGAGCCCTGGGTTCCTCATTTATAGGCCACTCTTAGCGCTGCCTGCCTCCCAGGGATGCGGTGAGGCCAAGTGAGATAATTAACATACGTGGAAACACTACAACTGTAAAATCCCTGTGCACATGTAGACTTTCCCATGGTTGCTAATACTAAAGAAGAGTCACATGCAGCTGAGAAGAGAGAGTCTGGGGGGGTGGGGGTGGGGGTGGGGTGCCAGGTTGCTGTGAAAACCTCAATCCCCAGCTGGGGTAGGGAAGGTGAGGGATGGGTGGGGAAGGCCATGAGGGCCTAGAGGTCTCCTGTCCTGACTTGCCAGCCCCAGGAGGCAGCTGCCATCCTCGGGGAGAGACTCAGTCCTACCCCTTCGCTCTCAGGGGGGTGGCTGGGGCGGGGGAGGTGACTGTGCCTTCCTTTAAATGCTTGGGCGGGTCCTTCTGTGTTTCAGGATGTTGGTGGGGGGTGTGGAGCGGCCAAGACAGGAAGGAGGGTGAGGGCTGGGCCTCTGTTTCCCCTAATCTGGGCTAAAGGCTCCTGGCCATTCTCGCCTTCCTCCTTCTGGCAGCCTCCCCTCATCACAAACAACAGCGAAGACAATGCAGTGAACATAAAAAAGTGGGGGGCCCACAGAGGCACCCTCTCTCCAGGGGCTGTGAAGCACCCTCCTCTTCTCCCAAGTTCTCCTCACCGGCTCCTCTTCCTCACTGCAGGGCCCACTCCCAGCAGGCCCGGCCGATGGTGATGCTGAGGCCTGTGGCTGCCCGGCACCCCCACAGCCCTCCAGGAACGGGATCTGGTTCCAGGAGTAGTGAGGCTCTTCTCCCCTCAAGCTAATCCCTCCACAAAGCTGCCAGCCCAGCCCTCCCTCCAGGCTGAGGTGAGCAGGAACAGGTCTGACCAGTTGCCACCACCAGGGCAGGCTCAGCTTTCCGCCCCAGCCAGGCTGAGCTCCCAAGTCACCCTGAGAAAGTGGAGAGGGTGAATCGCAGGGAAGGGAGGGAGCAATCCAATGTTCTCTGCTGCTCCCCGCCTCCCCTCACTCCAAAGGGCCTTCCTTTAGCAACCTGGCTGGTCAACCCCGTTGTCAAGATGGGGAAACTGAGACTTGTGATGTTAAGCCCACTGCCTGATGTCACACAGCTTTACAGTGGAGAAGCCAGATTTCCAACCCCGTCTCTGACTTGGAACCCACGTTCTGTCCACCATCTGTAGGCTGGCCCTTAAGGACCCAAGTCCAGACTGGGACAAGGCCCACTGGGAGCTCCTCAACAGGAGTCACCAACGCCCAGGTTGCTCTCCCTGCAGTGGTGGCAGTCTCTGCTGGGAGGCGGCTGGGAGCTGATGAAACCACAGCCTTCCTTCCGGTGCTGAGGGCCACTCGCAGCCAGCACTGCAGTCTAAGCTTGGGATAGGCAAGCAGCAGCAAGCAGGCCTGGGCTGGGTTTGGGCTGGAACGGGGCTGGGGGCAGTCTGGTGGCTCCAGTGCTCCCCTGGCTGCACTAGCTGCCCTGTGATGCCCACCTTCAGGCCCGGGGCTCTGTGCTGCAGGCGTCCCTCACCGATCCTCAGCACGTTTCACCCTAGGACCCCTTGCCTGGTGACCCATCTAGCTCCCTCCTTCCCACGTCCCTGGAGGTTCCCTCTCTTCCCACGGGAAGGGGCAAAGGCTTCCCATTCTTGCAGGGAGTCCAGCTTTGTTTCTCTCCACCCCTCCCCGAGCTGTCTCCAGGAGGTGTCATTGCCAGCTGCTGAGTCAGCCCATCAAAAGAGCCCATCCCAGCCTGGGTGGAGGCTGGTGCTGGCAGGAGGAGTCCCTGGGGGCAGCCTCCCTGGGGACCTGGCGGGGGGGGGGGGGGGGGGGGGGGGGGGGGGGGGGGGGGGGGGGGGGTGGGGGTGGGGGCTGGTCTGACACTGAGATGAGAAGATGGGGAGGGCTAGGCACCTGGCTGCAGCTTGGCCACCACTGCTCCTGGGCCTGTGCCCCCAGAGCAATGCCGGGGTTCTGCCTCTGGGGAAAAGGGATAAATGGAAAGTCCAGGCCATCTTGGACCTGGTGTGTGACCCCCAGGAGCTGCCTTGTGCCATGGTGCCAGCTCCAGAGTGAGGGGTGGGGTAGGGGAGCAACTTCAAGGGGAACATGGCCCCAGAGTGTTCAGAGCCTCAGGTGGGTCTCCCAGTGACGATGACAGCTTGCAAGTAAAAATCAGGATCTGCTCAGTGAGCAGACTGGCAGAAACTTGGAAGTGAGAAGAAGGAACATGGAGCAATGGTCGCCAATAGGCAGTGCAAATGGGCTGGGGCGGCTGGGGCAGCTGGGGGCCAGATGGGTCTGAGTCTCTCACTTCCAGACAACATGAGACCCGCTTTCCAGAAAAGATCCTGACCAGAGAGCTGCCTGTAGACTTTTTGCATGGGCCCTTCTCCCACCCTTGGGTTCTTAGGCTGTCCCAAATCCTGTCATGGGCCTGCCATGGCTGCCTCCCTCCATCCCTCCTCTCCCCTAAGGAGCCCAGCCCCACCCCAAGTGGCCGCCCAGTCACCTCCACCCACACAGCCCAGGGAGCGGACGGCGGGAACGGAATTCAATAGGCACCATCAGCAGCCACCTGGAAAGCTGGGGAAAGTCGATACCCTAATCCCGGTGACCGTCTCTGGGGAGCAGGCCCAGGGCCGCTCCCTGCTCCTCCTTGGGGAGGGCGGCTGGGGGCCAATGCCCCACTTGGACCAGCCCCTCCCTGGTCAGTGCCATGGTGATGGGTCCTATAGAAAACAGCCAGGCTGCTTCCCGCAGGCCAGCCAGCTCTGGGCCCCAGAAGGGGCGGGCTGGAGGAGCAGGAAGACAACCAGGGTGACCAGGGGAACAACAGAGGTGACCCCCCACCTCCCAAGACTGCCCCTCCCCCAGCCCAGCCCCAGCCAAGGGCTCATGTTTATGCAAATAAGAATGGTGCTCTGCTACCCCACCAAGTAAACCAGCCACAAAACAGGGTGGGCAGAAGGGGATGGGTGGGGAAGGAGCCCTGGCATTCTGGTGGGGTAGGTGGCAGGGGGTAGGTTGGGGGTAAGGAAACATGGCTGCTCTGGGAGGCAGCTCAGTCTATTCCATGGGACTCTGGAGACACAGGCTTGGGTCCGGTGCCAGCTCTTCAAGGAACTGAGGATGGAGAGAGCCAGTCCTGCCTGGGGGTGACATGTGACTGGGCAGCATGGGGGAACTGTCCTTAGGGCAGCCTGGGAAGTGACCAGGAGCTCAGACCAGTGTCCAGAGTTCTAGGCCCCAGGTGTCCTCTTCTCACCCAAGGGGAGGTACGAAGGGCTTGGCTGCTGCTGACCCCTGCCCTAGAGCCCTGATGTGGCTTCATTTCACCCTGCAGGATGTCCCCCAGGTCTGTGCGGGCTGAGGAATGTTGGGCCCCTCCATCTGCAAGAAAGGAGCTACTCAGGCTCTTATCTTATGCTTCTTGTCTCTCAGTGGGAAGGTCCCTCCCTGGTGCCCGGGAGGTTGGGATCCAGGGAGGGGACACATGCTAAAGTGGGGGCTGCCTCTTCGACACCCCCCGACACACAGGGCCCTGAGCCAGGCTCTCCCTCTGGCTGTTTTCTCCTGGTGCTGGCCAGAGACCCACCAGAGGAAGAGTCTGGCTCAGGTCTCCCCAGGGCTGGGCAAGCCTGGGATGGAGCAGGCTGGTACGTGGGCTGCTGCCTGGCTGGACGCTGTCCAGGCTGGCCGCCCCATGCACTCCACCATCATCACTCCCCGTCCTCCCAGAAGTCACAGGAGTTAACTCCCGTGGGCTGTCCCAAAAGGCTGCGTAAAGACTCTCAGGGAGCTTGTGAAAGAAACAGCAGCCACCGTTTACCGACCACTTACCGTGCGCCAAGCACGTACTAGCTTTGTGTACATTTTCTCGTTACAATCCAATTATAACCCTGTCAGGAATTATTATTGCCCTCCTTTCTCAGACGAGGAAACTCAGGTTCAAA